TCTACCTGATCATCAACACCGGCCTGAACGCGTGTCGTGATGACGACATCTAAGTATCTTCCACCCGCGGAGGTTCAGGATTTCAGGGATTTGGCGCTTCGTTGATGATGGTCCATCTATATTGATTGGTACCTAGTGTCCTCATCAACTAACCTTATATCTTTCTCTCTGAGTGAGAATACGCTTTAATTTGTGATTGTAAGCTCCCAGTATCGATACCGTTGGCGTGGAGCCTTGTCTGAATTGCTATAATTACACCTTATTGTTTGTCTTTTCTGTTCAGAACGATCAACGGCTCCGTTGCGGATTGTTGCGATTTATATATATTCGATTTTATAAAGACACTAATAAGGCACCTGTTGCTGGAACATCGCTTGTAAGGAGTGAGAGATGACCCTAGAAAGCAAAACGCGAGATTCATCTGAAATTGCAGATATTGTAATGCTATGTAGCCAAGGCCCGCTTAAATGATCGGCAAAGCAACTATGAGAATATGAATACGGCGTAAAATTTCTCTTGAAGTTATCTATCTAGCCAATATCCAGTAGCATAAATGTCATAATAATTAATTATTCTTAGTATGGAAGTGTTTCACCTGTCAGAGGTAGTTCTTAACGTTGGAAAATTCGTAGCATGGTGCCTACTGGTTTCATTACTGTGCTTCTGCAGCTTGGAAGTCGTCCGCATCTACAACGATCGATTGAACTCAACTACGCGGTACCTTCAATTTACAACAAACGATGAAACGGACAAGATGGCAAGGCCAAGTTCACACGAAGACAATCATACGAATTCGAATATTTCTGTGGCTCATGTGATCCAAAGCACGATGCGAGCTTATAAGCTACGGTAGATCTTGCGACACTGTTTGAGACATAATTTATACCTGTTGATACAGCTAAATGTCTAAACAACGTTTTGTCAAGATATCAACTACTTAACATCGTATAAAAGTCTGAGCAGTATGAATTTGTGTATACGTGGAAAAAAGTCATATTTATATATGGCAACATATAAAATGATGATGACATATAGGCTTGTTTCTTAAGCATGTGTATAACGTATGACATAACCCAATGAAAAGTTCGCTTGGATTTTAATAAATCCATTAGCGATCGTTTTTGCCACATAAAGGGCAATAACTGTACAAATAACAGCATGGTTACAGGAGCAAACTTTCCCATTGGGTGTCTTCCCTTGCTGACCGTCGAGGTCTTCTAATCCTCGTTCAGAGGTCGAATAAACGGTCATTCAAACAGATACTCTGCTACTCTTTATTAGACTGTAGAGTCTCTGCCTGCAGAGTTGTTTATTCACAATTCATTATATGAAGAGACCTATTGAAAACTAAGTGTTTGGCATAAGATAGTAAACAATTACGGTTCTACAAGTCACTTTATCGTTCTGCATTTACACACTATAGTCGCTCAAAGACCATGGTTCCTTGGCATGTTTAAATGAGCTCCTTTAGCATCTACTAAAAACAAGGCGGTATCACATGGCTATTATAACCTAGCGTTATAACATGTGTAAATCGTCCTCTACAGCAGTATTAATCTAAGGAACGGTAACTGCTTCTAAGCGAGTAATGATAATATCGGTTATGTGTTTTATAAGTTATTTTTCTTCAGAATGCTAAGGGCATCCAGAGCGAAGATAATAACTGTAAAACGGAGATTCCACAGCGTCTATGAACTTTCACCAGAAACTCACCAAACAACATAGTTGCAATATTAGAAACTTCGCGGAGCTGACAGTTGTTAAATCACTAAACTGGTGAGTTTGTAAGGTATGAGCATGAGAGTTGAACCAATACGATACGCCATATTCAGCCGGCTGGCAAATGAGCCCTCCTACGTGAACACCAATGAAGGTTTAAGGCATTTGATCCATAGCCAGACAACCGTTAACATTGAAGTAACGTGACTGATACACGTCTCCCTTGCTCCAAAGAGAAGTGACAACCAACCGGAAGAAATATGAATTCAAATTACTGTACCTGAGTTTCGACCCATGGCTTTTCAAAGCAATAACCTGAGACCATTCTTTTACGTCGACTACTCACACATGATGATGATGAAGTGCTCGAGATGCGGTGTTACAGTTAATTGCTATGAATCTGTTTGAAAGGAAAGATCTCAGAATGAATGACTGGGTTTGCGGCAAAAATCTTCGCTTTGTAAAACATACACGACAATAGAATTGCAACATTTTGTTAAAGTCATGAGAAGATTTTGAGACTTACTCGCAAAAGCAGTAATGCAATAATCTGAATCTATGCTTAGAAGTACATAAATACCACCTAGAATGGATGAAACAGAACAATGGGCAAAAATAAATATCACTAATGTAACCAGATGGTACTAGACCAAAAATGTGGAATGAGAGAATTTTATAAACGTGTGAACGTAGCCTGTACGGCCTTTCGACAACTAAAACTTTTATTCATAATCTTCCATGCCTGTACAGCGCATATTGCCATAATAAACGAAACCTACACTCAAAACAAAATGTAGAGTAAAATTTTAAAAAGTAATGAAAATGGAAAATGATTAAATTATTTAAAAACTAGTGTTCTAGATTAAAGCACTGTCCATCACTAGCGGGATGAGGCGTAGATGCTTTGAGCGGGATTTTCCAGCCACTACTGAAGTTGATGTCTTTCAGACGAGACATCTCACAGAACTTCGACGCATCTGTGAAGTTCATCGAGTTAGTAATTTGGCTGACGCCGATACCGCTATCCGTTGCTGAAAATGTACCCCCATGGGCCAGATTCGAAAATGCGCCAAAACTAGTGAGGGGCTTCCCGGCGTCGTTGCTGCTGTCGACAAGGTTCCCAAAAACGCGCGATGCCCTACGAGGAGAATCGTCCACAGCCGCCATGCTTGAATCGCCGTCGTTTGTACGGACGTACGTAATTCCATCGCCTCCTGACGGTGGAACGCGCTTGCTCTCTGCGGTGACAGGCGACAGCTGCACGTGCATATCGTCATTCATCATAACATAGCCATTGATGCACCTCTGGCTGACACCCGCCGCTGATGCAGCCGTGTCGAAGTTCCTTTCATCTAAATCGAGAGGCAATACATCAGCACCGTTGATTTAAATAGCACAAACACACCTGTGTTTTCTACTTTGTCAAAGCTGAGCATGCTGACATTTGTTGCGGCTGTAGCGTCGTCGTCCTCTTCTTCAACCACCCTAATCGGCGAAATATTCGCATGACCGAATGTATCAGCGGCACACCAGGTGGAACGACGCGAAAATTCGCTCCCTTCATCCTTCGCCGGACTGCTGACCAGATGCACCTAAAGCTGGAGTTAAAAGTAACAAAAATGGCGATCTACTGTCATTTCACTGAAATTGGAGTCGTTCTTCAGGAACAAATACAGTCAGTTCTTCAGGAACAAATACAGTACAAGCATTGTAATTTAAGAATATTCAGCATAGAGTCAGATGAAAGGGGAATCAAAACTTAACGCAGTTATTGAATACGAACGAGGCTTTGTCGGACAGTTTTAAAGAGATTATTTATCCGCTAGCTATGCAGAGTAAACCCTTTGAAGATCATGGTATGCTTATCATAAAGGTGCATAGTTAAGAAATTACGAGATCCAATGAAAAGTCGCCAAAGCAAAAGGACAAATTCTCAGCATTAACTGCTAGTTATTACTAGTTTGTAATTTCATATACTTTAAAAAACAGAACATATTATAACCTACAAACATAATTAAGACATATTTGTCTGCTTACTAACTTAAAAAGTAATAATCCCAAAATATGGGATCGCTGGCAGGACGTATAAACAATCAACATTATACTGCGCGGTTATGGCGAAACGTCTTATTATGATTCTTGAAACAGTCAGCAATGACGCAATAGAATCTGGGGTGGCTGTTATATACGCCTTTTTTGAAGCCGTTCAGATTAGAAAATGCACATCCTGATTACAAATCCTGACAGAAGGACTGAGGGCTATGATCCGCATTAATACTCGAAAAAATATGGATACATTTATTTATCATATCGTCCATCTTCTAAACGCAAAATAGCGACTCACAGGCAAGAAGAAAGGGAGATCCGGACTTGAAATCGAAAAAATACCTTTGCATGGTAAAGGAACATATATGTTTGAATGAAAAAGACAGGAAACATTAGGCTCAATAGTGTTGCCTAGTAATATACATTTTCTTTGTCATTTCCAGACAAGAAGTAGTACATATGCTATTGTGTGCGTGTATGTTCATCACTTTATTTCGCTTGTCCGCCGTGCTTGCAATTTTACAGCTCTTCTGCTATAAGGCACCAGTTATTGCATCGCAGAAGGAAAAATTCCTCTCTGAAAGCAGATCTGCCTCTACCTTGTTCCTCCATGTCCTCTGGTCGAGTCAGCTGCATTTTGACTGCCACACTAGATGCTTATAGGCTTGAGTAAATGATTTGTATTCAACCAGTTCGCCTAACAAGACCAACCTCATTTTTCTTAATCTCCACGTCTATTGAGTTCACCTGTTTTGGAAAGGAATGACGTCATTACGTGGCCCTGTCATTTAACCCTCATTATGTGCCGAAACCAACGCTGTTGCATTCAGTTCAATCGTCGTCCTTGCTATTCATCTGAACAACTGCTTCAATTACACATATCAATAATGACTTGAAAGAGACAAGTTACAGACGCATTTTTGTAAAAGTGTCAAATATTTGACAGGTTACTAAAAGCACTGAATGCGATGGCGATTCTTCCTATTGGATGGTGCCATCGCTGGGGATGACTGAACCTAGATACTTGAACTAGCACACTTCCTTTATGGCTTCTTCTTTCTATGTCATTAGTAGATGAGCCGCTTCTATTCGGTTAGTCCTAACTTTGGACTTCCGGGTATTAAAGTAAAGAACGACTTCACAGCTGTGTCGCATACAGAAGACATCACGTGACAGAACTGCTGCTGCCCGTACTATTATCCAAGACAATATATGCATATTCCAGGTCAATAAGACATCGAGTCGGATATTTTGAACTGTACCCTTCGTGAGGCCTTGGTCTTTGCCAGGGTCAGCAATGTTTCAGAATAGGAAATCGAGAACAATGTTAAATAGCAAAGACGAAAGCACATCTCGCTGGCGAACTCCATAGTCAATAGGGAACGAATGAGACAGCTCTCCTTCGACACAGTAGGCGGGGTTCCTGCATTCCATTTGCTATTAGTAGCTAACTAGACTCGAAAATGCATACAACAAGGTGCTGCGAGAAATCATGAGAAGTGTCCTTTAGACCTGCAGATACAGCCTGCTATCGTGTTGTAATGTTACAACTGCGGAATCGATCACTGCTGTTATTTTTTTCATTTCTCACAATATTAATGCTTACTCATTTGCGCATACTTCTCGATAGGACTGCTACGGCAAGAATAATGAGTCATTGAAGATCGCCATGTGCAAAAGCCAGATTTTTATAAAAGAAAGACTAATAAATTATTTTGAAATATTTACTAACTCGATTAGGATCACGCAACACATGCAAACATATAGGAGTGCATCTCAGTTCAAATGGTACATGGTATGCATCAAAGCACTCATCCATTCTTTGGCGATAAATATTGACAACGACTCGGGATTTGCAATCAAGCCGCCCTTCTTAGACAGTTTTGGCTTTACTGCATCTTTCTTTTACTGGATACCATGTTTCGCTTCCCGATATATTATCATGTCTATCGCAGCAAATAAAGAGAACGCACTCAGCAATATTTTGCCCCAACATGTGACCTTCGCTTATTCTGGCCGTTGTCTCTTCTCCTACATGCAACTGTTGAACCTGACTTTCTGGAGAGGCAACGCAATCCATGCGTAGTGACGGATATCTGCACTGAGTGAAAGAGATGGCAGGTCAGACTACCGATTCGAACTGATTCTCTTATCAGATACTTTTCCCCCTACATCAGTGATCTTTCTAAAGTTTGCGAGCGAGGAGACCGACCAAGATTCATCCGTAATACGCAGTCTGAGTCGCTCCTTCACTATGATGAAAGGTCACAACTGCGACAGTTTGAGCACGTTAATAGAATACAATATGAGAAACTCATAAGAGATATTTCCACAAAGTCATATTACACGCGGCGAAGAGGCAAACCTACGATCAGATGGCTCTATTGAATCTAAGATGGTACATAACGCGTTGTAATTCAGTCAGTGAAGTTCTCAAACATATGGCATAAAATCAATGGGAAAATGTCATGAAGCCGGTTTTGCCGCAGTCTAGAAACTGATTAAGAAAATTATACCGTGAAAAGGCACTACATAACAATGTATGACTAAATCTATTCAAAATGGTTGAAAAATGAGTAATTCAAATTAGAGGTCATGCAGCCTGTAGAGCAATATCCTTTGCTACAGGAAAGAGCAAAAATCCAACTCACTGAATCTTCCATGTCGTATGTTTCGTCAGCGCACATGTTCAAGTTTTCCAGTTGGTGCTTCAGTATTCCTGAGGAGCTTTTGGAGCACTTGATGGCACAGGGCCTGAAAGTACACTATAAGAAACTGAAAAGAATGTTGACAGACCACTATCGTACATGCTGGCTTCGCTGATTCCAAAAAGCTTTCGACGCAACGAGCTTGTACTCAAATTGGAATCTTCGTTGGAGCTACAGTCTTCTTCGTCTTCCACTTCATCGTCATCCTCATCGTACAGAAACATAGCAGAACCGCCTCAAATTGAAACGCTTTATTATCTATTTTCTTTGCCAATGGTGAGTGAACAAACACTGCTTTCACTATTACGGTACGGATCAAAGAAAATGAAAAAATATCGCAGAAACGCCATTGTCAAAAAATTAACTCGGTTCCATGTGTTAAAACCTATATCGAGACTATACGGCTACTAGTAAAAACACGACGACTACCGTACATATAATACAAAATTTTTCAGCAAAACAACGCTGAAAATTGCCAAATATAATTT